CCACCAAACATGCTCGCCCTTTCAGCCGTGGGGGCGCTGTAATGTGACGGTCAATCCCACTATTCGTTGGTAGAAGAGTAACCCAAGAGTTGGCGGTGGGCGGTGATGACTAGCTGCCTTCCCTCTAGTCTTACACTGCTAAATTAGGGACGGCTAGCGCAGATAGCCGTCGAGTAGCTTTGCGCGAAATTCAAAACAAACTACTTGTTCCCCCCCCCCCGAGAACAATCCACCTATTTTTGATGATGTCATATACTGAGTATTCGAATAAAAAAAAAGACGGTGGACATTTTTAAATTGCAGTGTGTTTTGAATTTCAGCACTCCAAATCAAACTAGGTCAGTAGTATAACACATAACAAAAGAGTAATTGGATAGGTTCTACATTTACATTTTTATTTTCAAGCTAGAAATCAAACGAGTTTAGACGAGTACCTAAATGTCTACGTTTGTAACACAGTGTCAGTCAGTACGTGTGTGAACTTGTTTAATTGAGCGTTCTTTCTAAAAGTTCAAGAAATTAGACAACATGAATTAGTTTTCTGCGATTTAATAAGTGAGACAGACTCGAAATAGCTGGAAATAATCATGGATATAGAACCCGAAAATAATTAGAAAACAATTGCAAATAGCAGGTTAGTAATTTTGTGATATTTTTCCCGTCGCTATTCCCGGAATAACTTGTTTTTCATGTTACTTTTTTGCAATAGTTCTTAGAAAATCTGTTTCCTTAAGCCGATGTCATTATTGAGGAGACGCCCGTTTGATTTTTTAAGCTAAAGTAACGGTACTTTTTATATTTAGGTAAAATTATTAGTCTCACTAAAATATCGACCCGAACCACCGCGACTAGAGTTTTTGTTTAGCTAAAAACTTAACTGCGAATATTTTTCGTGTTTTAGAGGTAATAAGCCAAGTTGGAATTGTAAGGCTAGCCTCGTTGCCAAGACTGAATTCAACGATTCATGGTTCGGATCAGTTGGTGCAAAAATGCACTCCACACTTGGAGCCGTGGGTGTGCTATAACTTCAGTATAAAAGTGACAGTCGAATTCCACTGTTTGGTCAAGACAATAGGGTCCTAAAATTAGGCGGCAAGAGCTGTTGACCTTTTGCTTTCCTTCTAGTATACCAGATTAAAATTAGGGACAACTATGAGCGGATAGAGTTTGTGTAGCTTTGTGCGAAATTCTGAAATAAAAGTTTAACAGTTCAAAACACTTTCGTTAACCGGGTTTTACCTGTTATGTTTCCGAGATGAACCTATATTTTAAAAATCGCATAGTGTGGTACAAATTGTTTTATACTTCCTTAGCTAATTTCGAAATTTCTGCCTTTTTTTCAGTTTAGTTTTGACGTAGAAAGACTTTCACGTAAACACTTCTTAACACTACCTCTTTCTAGCTCTGTTGGCGACCTCTTTCACTAATTGGCAGTTAATCGAATTTTTTGCAGAAAAGATAGGCCACAACGTCTTGACGTGGAAATCCGTCTTTTTTTGTCGAGCTCCCAGTGGCTCAGAAGTAAGTCTGCGTGCTTATATGTTAAAAT